TATATATATATATATATACTATATATATATATATATATATATAACTATATATATATATATATATATATATATATATATATATATGTGTGTGTGTGTGTGTGTGTGTGTGTGTGTGTGTGTGTGTGTGTTTATATCTACATATATATATATATATGATACTCATACATTCCGCACGTATATGCCCAAGCATACATCAGCTAACCTGAGAAAATACACCGATCAGGTTTGTTTCGATATCGTATGCATTAAAATCATTTTTAAAGATGCAGACTTATTACGAATACAGTACTACCTTGGGCACAATGGTCCGGCAGGATTCAGCCCCAAACATCAAACCCTAAAACCAAAAATAGGTACATAACCCTAAAAAAGCATCGACGCTGCCTATTGTCTAATCAATTTAGTTTATATTTCCAATGAGTTAAAATAATGATGACATATTTGTAGAAAAAAATAGATGCAAACAATTAGTTTCTTTGTTTGCATAGAGTCTCCCCCCAACGACAGGAGGAGGGTACGTGCTATAAGATGTATATAGATTATTGTCAAAAGCTCTCGTAACAACATCGTATGGAATGATGTTTATCATACACATGGTATAAAAATTTACATACGGTATCATATCGATGTAATGAAACCGAGGCAGCGGCATGTCGACCAGGGATGGTGGCCGGAGGGCGTCCTCACAGCCCTCTGAGAAGAAGATTCTTGTAAACTTCTATTCGAAGGTAAACTACAGTGCAGACATTGAATAGTCGATTAAGATATATTCAACTGTACATTGTGTTGTAGAAAGGAAGAAAAAAGATGAAACTTGAGAGTTTTTATCAATTAGTCGTGTACAGTAACATTGGTTGGGTGAATGTATGAATAGCAGGCAAGCGTACTCCGGACACATTGAATAGAAAGCAAACTTATAACGTAATATCAGGAAAAAACATATATTGTATATGTGTATGATTGTATCTGTTGGATACGTTTACACACCTCATTGATAGTCAAAATTTATAGAAAGCCTTGGACTACGAGCATTTTTATTCATCCATCAGATACAATTAGTTCAATCGGAATATAAGATTGTCACATGTACTTTGACATATGCAATATATATATATATATATATATATATATATATATATATATA